GGGCACACATACACACACACACTTCCTTGTATATACACAAACACAGAATTTCACTCAAAGGACAAACCAAAATCTAGTTATGGGTCCTTCCAGAAAACAGAATGAGTGGCTAGGGAAAAAGGTAAAAGAAAAAACATTCACTATGTATTTCTTTGCTTAATCTTTTGAATTTTAAATCATGTGTATTTTGCCCATTTAAAAATAATAATAAAGGGAGACCCTATAGCCTAGTGGTTAGGAGAATCAGATCCCACATAGCCAACCACAGTTCAAATCCTGGCCCTGGCAGCTTGGAAAGCATGCTGGGTGTATGTGCGTGCACGCCCAAAATCCTGACAGAATGGAGAAGTAAAGAGGGATGTGATGAGACTATGCCCAACTAGGGGTTGCTTTCTTCTCGCCTTGCCCATCTGTCTTTGGCCAGTACACGTACCCTTTGGCAATTAAATTTTTTTAAAAATCTTTAATGTATACGCGTGCATACATGGGGAGGAGTAATGAAGACAGAGCGTGAGCCTTCGGCAAGGTCTCATCACACAGAGCTCCTCCCTCCCAGCATCTTGTGCACCTGCGTGTGTGCCTTGTGTGTTTTCAGGTCAGCTCAGGGATCCAAACCTGTGGTCAGCTGTGTGGCTTGCTGTGTGGCTTCTTTTATGAAAGAGAAAAGTCAGGAAGCCGGGCATACCAGGGAGCCCTAGAAGTGGTTAGTAGACACGTACGTTGGAAAAGGTCCAAACTCCAGGAAAATTTTTCCTGCTAGGTAAACTTGAGTGGGAAAAAAAAAAATTTTTTTTTTTGGGGGGGAGAGGTTTTTGCTACAGGGTGCATGCACTCGCCAGACAGAGAGAGACAGAGAGACAGAAAGTGAGAAATCACCCCCCAGGGGAGATGGCCACACTGCAATCCCTTCTTCTTCATTTTCTTCTCGGGATCTTGGGCATGCATGCATACGCGCCCAGCCTGAGTTTTAAGCCACTGGGTCTGGGATGCAAATCGCGGTCGACTACATGGGAGTCCAGCGACATAGTCATTATGCTAACTGCTGGTCCCATGGGTGGGAAAAAATTTAAAATGGCCTTGATGATTTCTCTATCTGAGCTGGAGATTATATTTAGAGTATGTTATTTTCCCTTCATTTGTTTAATAAATGAAAGCTGCTCCTACGTCTACATGCAGGTTTGTACTTGAAAATCCTCATCTTTCATTCCAAAGGATCGAATTATCTACACACTGTCATAGTTAATTAAGAAAAATGGGCTTTCTTGGGACTAGCAGATGGTGTAATTGTTAAGTTGCTGGACTCCTATCGAGTCAACTGTGGTTCAAATCCCAGACCCGGTAGCTTAAAACTCACGCTGGGAGTATGTGTGTGCATGCCCAAGATCTCAAGAGGAGAATAGAGAAGGGACTGCAGCGTGGCCATCACCCTGGGGGATGATTTCTTGCTTCCTGTTTGTCTGTATCTCCAGGAAACGCACACGCCCTATAGCAAAAATCTAAAGAAAGAAAGGAAGGAAGGAAGGGAGGAAGGAAGGAAGAAAAGAGGAGAGGAAAGAAAGAAAAATGGGCTTTCTAAACTACAAAAATGACTTTGGGATTATAAGTAAGTATAATAGAAACCTAATTTGAGATTCGTTGTGCGTCCATGTAGAAAAAATCATACAAGAAATCGTACTGCGTATGCCAACAGGAATAAAGGTTATAAAGAAAAGCCTCATGTTCTTGCTTGCATCCTGGGCATTGCAGTGACCCTGTAATAAAGCTTTATCCATGTGGGCCAGCGGGTGGTGTGATCAGACTTGGCAGCTAGCTAGCTCTCTCTCTCTCTGTCTCTCTCTGTCTCTCTCTGGTGAGTGCACATGCCCTATAGCAAATTAAATAATAAATTAAATAATAATTAATAAAATTAAATAATTATTTT